CCTTCCATGGGGCCAGCGGGGGAGAGTGGAGGGGTCAAGGAGCACTACCAGGGCTGAGCCCAGGAGCGGGGGTTAGGGCAGGCTTCCAGAGGTGATGTCCAAGAGAAGCTTGTTCCAGACAGAGGGACAGGTGGAGGAGAAGACTGGTGAGGTGGACCCCAGCGTGTGGTGTCAGGGAACCTGAATTCCCATGCTGGGCGGCTGGCCCTCTCTCATACCCTGGCACACCCACCACCCATACTAGCTCCCTAGGGCTGCTGTCACAGAGCAGCCAGGGCTGGGTGACCTAAAACAACAGAAACGTGCTCTCTCACTATCCGAGAGTCCAAGTTTGAAGTCAAGCTGCTGGCAGGGCTGGTCCCTTCCCCAGGGCCCCTGGGAGAGAGTTCCTCTGTTCCAGGTGCCTCTCCTGGCTTGTGGTGGGGACTGCAGGTCTCGGGCCACTTCCTTACTGTCCCTTTGCTGTCACAGGACCTTCTCACTGTGCGCCTGCATCTCTCTCCTCCCCTGCAGAGTCACCAGTCACCGTGGGTTACACCGACCCTACTACCTATGACCTCACGTTAACTAACTACATCCTGTTAAATGTATTTCCCACGTGGGACCCCACTTCGCATGTGCAATGACAACCAGCTATGCTGTCGAGTGTATGGGGCAACGGGACTGCTCATGGCCTCAGACGCCCTCCCAAACTACCCTAGCATGACAGTAACTCTACATCTCTAAATAAGGTCCTGTTCTGAGGTGCTGGGGGACATGGGTTCACCGCCCCCGACGTCACCGCCATCTGCTGGCAGCTCCTCTCCTGTGAAGCTGGGACGCACTCACCCCAGGGCTGACCAGCATCCCCGTCGGTCCCGTTTTTGCGTTGGCGAGCACTGGCGCGTGCTCCTGACAGATGTGCGCACGCTCCGGGGGGCACATAGTTGGGGTGGGATTGGGGGCTTGCGGGGGCACATCATCCCTGGTTGGAACTCCTGAGCAGCAGAGCCTGAAGTGGGGGGGCGTGCCAGGTTCGGAAGGGGGGCACTCTCGGGAGAAAGCGAGGGTGGGGGGAAGGGCCAAGAGCAAGTTTACTTTCAGGTGCAGCGGAGCCCGGCCGCACCCTCGGGGGGCCCCGGAGTACCCTCTGCCTCTGGTGGGGCCCCCTGGCTTGCATACTCTCGACTCAGCCAGGGCTTGGCACTGGCCACTCCCGGGCTGGCCTGAAGTCCCAGGCATCTCTGGGTGTAACCTGTTAGAGCCGAAGCCTGAGCGGGCAGGGACTGGTCACACCTAGTGGCAGAAGAAATACCGCACGTGGGGTGGGGCTCGGGAGCCCCCAAAACCGGGTCTGATGAGGCTGCGTAGCTTTTCATGGGCGCATCGGCCACTGGGGCCTGCCTCCTTTGCTGTGTGCCTGCCCATTTTCCTACCGGGTTTTTTGTGATATTATAACTTACATATATTTGTGTACATTTGGTTTTCGTCCAGGGCTCCTGGCGCGCAGCTCCCAAAACTATTGGAGCTTCCTGAAAGAGCCACAGGAGCATGTTGCGTTGCAGAATTTGGTCCCTGGTCCTCGGTTCTTGAATCACTTGCAGCCACCAGGGTGACACGCGTGTCTTGCCCGCAGCCCTTCTCCACCACAGCTGGGCTCACGTTGATGAGGGGCCTTGGGACATGATTTCCGGGGGAGCCTAGTGGCGGCGGGGGCCGCACCAGTCACTGGTGGCCCGTGATTCAATCCGCCACCCCTGTGTGCTGAAGCCTCCTAAAACCCAAAGGGACGGGGTTCAGAGGGCATCCAGGCTGGCAAGCAGACGGCTTCCGTGCACCGCTGTGCTGGGCCCAAAGTCCAGGACCTCTTCTGCTAGGGGGCCTTGCCCTGCGTATGTCTTCCTCTGGCCACTGATCCTTGTAATAATCTACAGATCGTTTAACATCCTTTGTAATAAACCAGTAATCTCTGGATTTATGAGGTCTGTGAGCCACTCTAGCAAATTCATTGAATCCGAAGAGGGGGTTGTGGGAACCTCTGACTCGTGGCCATTTGGTCAGAAGCACAGGTGACAGCCCGCACTTGTGACTCACCCGGACTGTGAGTGGGCGTCTCGTGGGACCAAGCCCTGAGCCTGGGGGATCTGGTGGACGGTGCAGGAGTGGCCAGGTGGCGGGACACCCGCTGGGCTCACACGGATTTGCCTGGTGTGGCGAAAACTCCCACGTGTCAGAACTGGACTCAGAATCAACACTGACCACTGACCAACAATGTCCCGTTGTTATTGATGTGAAGAGTTCTTTACATATTCGAGGGATACGCCCCTTGTCCCCTCCACACGTGGCTCAGCTCTGGGAAGCACATGGCTGTCTGTCCACGGGCCGCCAAGGCGGGGCCCCAGCACGTGGGGCATGACCCAAGGGCCGTGGAGACGAGCTCTCCCTGCAGTTCTGGGGTGGCCCGGCCCCACGAAGGCAGCGCCCAGCACCGTCCAGAAGGGCTGCACACACCTGGCTTTCCGTGAGGATCTCTGCTGAGGGCTGCAGACCGAGTGTGAGCGTGTGTGCACGTGAGCTCGTGTGATGTGCGCAGCATGCACGCTGTATACGTGTGCATATACACGTGCCGTGTGGGGGGCAGCCTATGTATCTGCCTGTTCATGCATGTGGCACGTGCGGCGTGCACGGTGTGCGCACACGCACGTCCCTCCGTGTCCGAGGACGTGGAAGAAGGACCACGTGGCCTCCGGGAGTTCTGGGAAGTCCTTCCCGCCCAAGCCCTCTGCCCACAGCTCTCCCAGGTGTCACACCTGGAAGCCTCCCTGTGGCGGATGGTGGCCACCACGTGGGGCGAGGGTCCTGCCTGCGCTGCCAGAAGCCACGGACAGGGAGTCAGAGTGGACCCTCGGTGAGCAGGGGGCATAACCATGCGAGTGCCCACTTGGTTCAGCCCCTCGGGGCAGGTTTTCTGTCCCCTCCTCCCCTGGGGTCTGTTGTGGTGGCTCATCTCCACCTGTGACATCCAGAGGCTGGCCGAGGTGGAGACACCTGTGGGCCCGGAAGGTGGGCTGCAGCAGATGGGACCCGGGGAAGCGGCGCAGGAAGCTCCGGCTGCTCGAGGCGTGGCTCAGCGGCACGTGGCTCAGCGTGGCCGGGGCCGTGGAACCGACATGAGGACTCTGTGTGTGTCCCATGGCCCCTGACGGAAGCTAGGTGTTCTCTGGGCGGGCGATCTGGGGCATGAGCACCCTGATGGGGGTGTGCTTGTGGGAACCTCCGGCTGGGGGCACGGCTGGGGGCCTTGTCGGAGTGACCTGTGTCCCGGGAGGTGGGTCGTGGCCTGGCGGGAGGGACCAGCTGAGGGCAGAGCTGACTGGCATCTAGAAGGACTGCTCTGGCCACAGAGTGCACAATAGATTCTCAGGGGCCAAGGGCAGGGAGCCGCACAGGACTCTGGTGTCCTGTCCCCAGAAGAGGGGCTTGGGGAGGGGGCGAGGTGGTCTGGCTGCAGGGCAGGAGCCTGGACACGTGGGGAGCCTGCAGGGGAGCGGACGGGCACATGAGGGCTCCGGAGAGGCAGGCCAGGGTGGCACCCTGCCAATCGGCGCCAAGGACCCCTGTAGGCTGGGGGTTCAGGTTCAGGCCAGCAGCCCCCGGGGGCCCAGCTGTGCCCCCTGTGGGTGAAGGAGGCGCTGGGTTAGGCGCGCTGGCTGGTGAGTGAGAGCCTTGGGCCTAGAGCAGCCGCCCTGGGGCAGCAGGTGGGCGAGGCCACGGCCTCAGCCAAGAAAAGGTGGCCACGCGGCTTCAGTGGTTTTTCCCACATGGATTTATTGTTGGTGATGACTCACACAAGATGCCGACCACGGACACAAATGGACAGACAGACACACAGACGCTGGTGACCCCTGTTATCTATGGGGAGCACTCTGCCCCTCAGAAGGGGAGCAGCCCCGGTTCCTGTAGGACACCCCCCCCCCAAGTCCACAAGTTGGTTTCCCCGTGTGGCGAGCTCCTCGGCCTGGGGCACCAGGGGCCGCTCGCGGGGCCGCCGCACGGGGGGCTCTGACTTCCGGCAGCCCCTTCCCTCCAGGCGACGCGGGTCACAGTCTGCACCGGTGTGGCTTATATTCTCCTACCGCCAATTGGAATACCAGGAAACAGATGTTCAGAAACCAACCATGAGTCCTGAGAATTGGTTTTGATTCACAGGGAAACAGGACTTAAAAAAGCCATTTCCCAGCATACACGGCGCTGCTACTGATGTGACATGTGCCCCAGACAAGTCAAGTCCTGGAGTCTTCCTCCCCGGGTCCTGGTCTCCAGGCCGCTGGCCGCGGGCGCGGTCAGGGCCCGCCAGGTGGGCACGCGCTCCCACTCGTGAGGAGCACGCCTTGTCCCACGCGGGGGTCCCCACGAGGTGTCGGCGGCGACCGGGGCTCACTCCGACTCCCCGCAGTTTTATTTCTCTTGGCCAGAAGGAGCTACAGAGCACCCGCGCCGCACACGTCGGGACCCCGGGGCCGCCAGCCGCCTGGCTGTGTGGGGTGGAGACACGCGGTGGCCCCCGCTTTATTGCCTTGTGCGGTTTCCCCACCGCGCCTTCTGCACAATTAGCCAAAATATGACACTTGGCCTTTTTAATCTGAGCAAAGTGAGATACGCAGGGAGTTACGAGCGCTGGGCTCTTGGCACCCACAATTATCGCTTTTCTCTTCAACACCCGGGCGACGGCAGGGCCCGCGCTGCAGGGTGGCCGGGGGCAAGTGCGGGTGGGAGGGAGCTGGCTGGGCACACGTGGAACACGGACAGACATCTTCTACCTGCGGGAACGGCACAGATCTACGGCAAGTTATCACAGCGACACAGCACGGCCGGCCGGCCCGTCCTGGCAGCGAGGAAGGGGTGTGGGCGGCCGGGGGCAGAGCCTCTGGGGGTCCCGGGAACGCAGAAGAGAGACCCTCGGAGCAGCCGCCTCTCAGCAGACGCCTGCCTTCCCTTCGCGGGCCCCTCGTCTGCGGCCTCTACACCAGGAGCCAGTGGCGCAGCTGGAAAGGAAACAGGGCCTGTTCAGAGGCAAAGCGGGAGTCACTGGGACGAAGGGGCCCCTGGCTCGGGCCGGGACCCCCCGCAGCACCGGCCGCCCGCCATACGCTCTAGAAGCATGCTGCGTTAAACAACCTTCCGTGTAATACAACATATATGAATAATTCGTACGGGAATATTTGTATGTGATGAGCCTCAGAGAAACACAGGTCAATAAACCCACTGGGCAGAAAGCAGCCGGAGAGCAGGGCTGCGGTGAGGGAGGCGGGTGGGGCCCCCGGGGCGTGTGTCACAGTGGCCGTGGGGCAGGTGGCTGGTGTACCGGTGATGCCCCGGGCGCCCCGTGGCCACCTCTGTGGGGCCTCTGGTGGCCGTCCCCACGGACGGCGGCACCCTGCACTTCCGTCATTTGCGTGACCCCAGAGGAGTCGGGGGCAGGCCTCACTTGTCGTTAGGGAGGCCGAGATCGACAAGAGGGGGCGTTTAGTCCTCCAGCAAATGTCACCGCCTGCTATTATGCAGCTGTTAGTTCAGCCTCTTTGTGAGCACAAGCCATCCGATTACACTAAATGGCAAGAACTGTGTGTTTTAAATGCTTTGAAACAAGAACATGTAGGCTCGTTCCCACCCGGCCACAGCAGGGGCGGGGGATGCTGAGCCCACGGCGGGGGGCGGGGGGGGACAGGGCTCCCTGCTGTCATCCGCGAGGCCCTGTGGGCTTGTCTGCAGTCCTGGCCAGGACACGTGCACACACGGGCAGGGCCGTGCAGGGCAGGCAGGTGGCGGGGAGCTGGGGGGCCGTAGCCCTAGAGCCCCGCGGGGACGCCCCGCTCAGACCAGTCTACTTTTCAGGGGTACGGAAGTATCTGTAGATGCAAGGGAACCATAGGGTGCAGAGGTCAAGTGAGAGGTCCAAGGCGGTGAGGGCTGCGTCTGCTTCAGGGGTGGGGGAGGGGCGCAGGCAGGGGCGCGTGCTACTCTCAGCGTGTCTTTGCGTGGAAGTTCACGGGGCCTTGCTCCCTAGATGAGCAGCTAAACAGGAGCTGTGGCGGACGGACGATGAGGGTGCTGTATGCCCAGTGCCTGTGTCACAGAGTTCACGGAACTTCGAGGGAGCACAAGACCCGAGGACCCGGCAGGTGTCACGCACCAGAGGCCAGACGCACGGGTGGAAGGTGTGGGCTGCAAGGTTCCCAGAGCCCGCAAAACCCAGCGGTCCACAGACCGGGGCACGTACAGTGGCTCACGTAAAGGGAGCCGCAGAGAACTCGCGGCTTCAGAACACCAGGACATGGCAGCTATCAGTGGAGAACTGTGTGCACACAGACTCTCTCTCGTGAATAAGGGCAAGGCGAAGTTCATGGACACACGAGAGCAGGGGAGTTTATCAAGAGTCTTCCTTGCAGGAAAGTCTGAAGGATCGTTTTTTAAAGCAAGAAAATGATGCTCAAAGGGAAGATGTATATGCCAAAAGGTCTAAACATCCAATATGCACGTTAACCCAAGAGAGCATTTCTATACAAAATAGTAATAATTGTAATAGTAATAGTGTCTGTCTAATTTGTGGGTTAAAAGGCAGAAATAGAGTATTGGACACTAATAGCATAATAATCAGTAGGAGAAGTTTTAAGTCCTTGTAATATTCAGGATGGGGGTTGAGATATTGTGTTACTTTATATATTTAAAGTGAGATGTGTATGCGTGATTTCAAAGATAACTATTAAAGGAATAAAGTATAATCATGTAAGTAAAATATACGAGTATATAAGTTCCAAATGGAAAAAAGTAGAAAAAGGGGGAAAAAAGTAAATCCTCCAAAAAGCAATCCATAAAAAGGCAATAAAGGAGAAGGAGAAACATTAAAAATGCGGCAAATAGAGCTAAAAAGATCATGGAATCAAACCTAACTATAGTAGTAATCACAACAAATGTAAATGGATGAATCTCTTTGTCAGAGCAAAAAATTCCAGGTGTACCCCTGGTGTGCAAAAGGTGCCTACATTTTAAGACCATTGCAAAGTTGAAAGTTAAAAGGTTACACAAGAGGGGAGCCTGGGGGGCTCAGTCGGTTGAGCTCTGACTTCGGCTCAGGTCATGACCTCACGGTTCGTGGGTTCGAGCCCCGTGTCGGGCTCTGTGCTGACAGCTCAGAGCCTGAAGCTGCTTCGGATTCTGTGTCTCCCTCTCTCTCTGACCCTCCCCTGCTTGTGCTCATGCTCATGCTCACACTCTGTCTCTCTCTCTCTCTCTCAAAAATAAACATTAAAAAACTTTAAAAGATTATACGAGATATTTCTGGCAAACTCAGGAGAAACCTGGTGCAGCTACTTTCATCTCAGCCCCAGAAGACTTTAGCAGCAAAAGCACCACTAGGGAGAGAGGAGTGTGACGTCCCGGGGGGGATGGGGCCATCCTAAATGTGTCTTTACCGCGGAAGCAGCCTCAGGACATAAAGCAAAAAGCTGCAGGAGCTGCGAGGGAAAGGCGGACAGATATGCTCCCCACGCGGGATATTCTGCAAGTAGTTCCCAGCTGCCCCCGCGAGCCAGGCCGCAGTCGGTGAGGCTGTGGAAGCCGGGAACAGAGCGATCGCGGCCTAACGGAGCGGACGAAGGAGACGCGCGGCAGCGGCTCGAGCGCGCACGTCCGTGTCAGGGGCGCACGTTCATCTCAGCCTGTGCGTCGCGCGGCAAAGGGTCAGGGGCGCCGCAGCACACGGGTCCGCTCTTGCTTCCAAGAACAGGTGTCGCAGACGTCTGAGCGAAGTGCATTCGCTTCACACACCGATCACAAACAGGCCAAGAAAACATCCCCATAGACCTGGGGGCTGGAAAGCACCTCATGGGGTGGAGAAATCACGACGCAAATGAAAATACCCTTAGCACTAAAATACCACGTTAAAGGTGGTGGAACACGGCACGTTCACAGCCCTGAACGCTTTGTTAGAAAGGAAGAGAGGTCGGAAATGAAGGACCTAAGGTCTCACCTAGAAGTTAGCAGAAGTTAGAACACATCCGAGGAGGGGCAGACCCGATTCCGCTCCCCCACCATTAGCAAGCCCCCCCGTCTCTCTGCAGCCCCCCCGTCTCTCTGCAGCCCCCCCGTCTCTCTGCAGCCCTCCCCGTCTCTCTGCAGCCCCCCCTCCCGTCTCTCTGCAGCCCCCCCTCCCGTCTCTCTGCAGCCCCCCTCCCGTCTCTCTGCAGCCCCCCCGTCTCTCTCTCTGCAGCCCCCCTCCCGTCTCTCTGCAGCCCCCCCGTCTCTCTGCAGCCGCCCCTCCCGTCTCTCTGCAGCCCCCCCTCCCGTCTCTCTGGCCCCCCACGTTGGGCTCCAGCCCTTCTGGCCTCCTGCCCCCACCCCAGCCCGGGCAAGGCTCTGAGCTCTTTCGGACCCTCCCCCTCCCGTCCCCGGCGGGGCAGGCCCCCTCCCTCACCAGGGGTCTGCCTAGGGCCCCCCCCGGAGGCCCGCGCCCCCCGCTCCACCCCTCTGCTCCCTCTTTCTGCCCAGCGCCCTCATTCCGCCCCTCTGCCTCCCCCGCTCAGGACACGTGCCCAGAGGGACGCTGAGCACGCGCGGCCTCGTGCGGGCTGAGGCCGGGGGGCGCGGGGAGCACACTCACCCTGAACTGGCGCACCTCCCCGCTGTCCAGCAGCTCGTGCTCCTGCTCGGGCGTGATGGCGTAGGCCAGCTTCTAGAAGACAAGGGGGGCTTGGGCACGGCGCACGCTCGCTGAGCGCACCGGCCCGGGACCCGCCGCCCTGGGGTGCCGTCTGGCCCATGGAAAAGGGGAGGTCTCGTCTGCAGGGCGCTCGCTGCGGGCTCCGAGTGGGAGTGAAGGGCGCGCTCCCCCTGTGAGTCTCCAGGCCGCCGCAGCCCACCGGTCCCGCTCCGGAGACGCTCTGGCGCTGGTGTAAGGTCGCCTGTGGGGCAGGCCCTGCCTCCTCCAGGCTGAGGGGACCCTGCTTGGCCCGCAGCGGGGAGGGGTGTGTGCGAGGGGGCTCTGAGGACCCCGGGCTCCCTCCGTCCCTGCCCCCCCAAGAGGCACGGGCAGTTCCAGGGTCCTGGGGCCCGACTGCGCGTTCCTGCCCCTGGGGGAGCCGCTGCGTCCCCAGCAGGGCCCCTGGACTGGCCAGGGTGCAGCAACAGGGCTCGCTGCCCGCGGTCCCCAGGAAGCCGCGCGGGACGCAGCCCCGGAGCGGCTGCGGAGCGGCCTTGTGGGCCGTTCCTTCCAAGCAGGCCTGGACCCTTCGCTGCTTCCAGGGTCCCGAGCCCGGAAGTACAGTGACCGGTCGCCTGTCCCCTCCTTTGTGGTGGAGGAGCCTGTGTCTGACGGACGCCAGCCCCGCCCCCGGCTCCAGCCCCAGCCCCCGGCCGCTCCCTTCCCACCTTCCCAGGCTCTGTGGGGCACGAGTGTGCCCAGACGGGCACACGCACGCGTGCACGCACCTCCCGCAGGGAGCCGGGCAGGCTGCAGAGCTTGTAGGCTGCGTAGACGGGCACCATGGACATGGAAGACGTGGCGACGGCCCAGCCCAGAGCGCTGGCCCACTCGGGGAAGGTGTAGGCCCCGTAGTGCGGGGGCCGGAAGGTCACGACGCTCACCACAGCCACAAACTGAAAGTGAGGGCACACGTTAGGCGGCGGCTCTCAGCTGGCGGGTGAGGTGGCCCAGGGAGCGAGGCTTTCACGGGGAGGGTCTCCCTGCCCCGCATACGGGAGAGCAAGCGCCCCGCGAGCGGTGGGGGCGCTCACGTGCTGCTCCTCAAGGGCTGCAGCGGGGGGATGCGCACCCCTCGTTGCCGTGTCGGGTGCATGGGAGCCTCACGACTGCCCTCGGCAAGCCTTCCGTGTCATCGTCTCCAGGAGACCCCGGCGTCCCCATGCCTGACCCAGGAGACCCCGGCGTCCCCACCCCTGACCCAGGAGACCCCCATGTCCCCACGCCTGACCCAGGAGACCCCGGCGTCCCCACGCCTGACCCAGGAGACCCCGGCGTCCCCAT